ATATATATAAGCCTTCGAATTGAATTTCTTTTTCATATCTTGTACAGGTTTGTAAATATTACAATATCTACGATAAAAGCTCAGAATTTCTTTGAGGGGGTATTTTCACCCCTAGGACCATTTCATTGCCGAAATAAAAAATAGTTTCGTTATTATTTCTGCAAAGTTTCGAATGTTTTTTGAATTTTCAGATTGCCGAACTTCCCTCGTCGGTCATTGGCTATAAAAATTTACACGCAATTCCCGTTCCTACGCTATTGTACAACCGGATTCGATCGAACTGATTCGCGTTCGTTTCTGATTCAGCTCTCATACACGCTCTTTTACAATTTCATCCAGGCATTCGTGCGTCTTTAGAACACATGTCACACTCGCCTCGTAAACTTTGTTACACGTTGTAAAAACGCTTTATCGTTTACACAGTCGTACAACATATTGACGAGATAAAAGGCTACATGTATCGGGAATTGATGAAACGTTACGGAAAATTCAATTTTAGTTGTATCTCGAGATGTGTCTCAAACGAATATTGTGGATATAATGTGAATAGAAATGAAATTTTCACGTAACGACGTGGAAATTAAAAGAAAATTCAATTTTTTTAGGTAATATACAGACTTCTACTAAAGGTAAGATAAGACGAATTCAATAAACTGAGCAGAAAATACTGTTACGAGAAAAAGCATAACTCGAAAAATCAGTATTATTCGAGGTGGATCATTTGTGTAACACAATGTAATTTATTGCTTCCTTCGTTCATTCAATACGGTTTAAAAATTGAGTATTATCTTGACATAATCTTCTTTTCGACGTTTATAAAGAATGTTCTATGCGTTTTTCTGTTTCCACAAGTACTTGGTATAATAATTAAAAAAAAGTTAATTTCAATAGCTTTGATGTTAATTTATATTCTTTATAAGTATCTTAATAAATTGTAAAAAGTTTTATACTACAATATTACATTTCGGTCATCATATTAGAATTACTCCTTAAAACATGCTATACGTACTTGAAGTTCCTTCATCCTTTACATCTTGGACGATTCTCCGAACACTTTGTGTGAATTTGCCCATGAGGTTCGTGCCCGCTGAAACATATCGAGAAATATCGTATGAAAGATTGCTTGCAAAGCTTTTATTAAGTAGTTACGATAGTCATTAGCAACAAATTGA